GCACATGCACCCGGCGTGAGATTTAAGCCACCGGGTTCGAGACGCGAACCGCGGTCGACTACGTGGGAGTCCAGCGACATAGCCATTACGCTAACTGCTGGTTCCCAAGAAGTCTTTTTTTAAAAAGAATTATTTTATTTAACTTTATTATTTATTTTAATTTGACCAGAGAAAGATAGAGAGGGAGAAAGACAAAGGGAAAGTTAGAAAGCAAGCCACCAGGTCCAGGACTCAAATCATGGTGAGCCATGTAGAAGTCTTAAAACCTTAACCACCAAGTCACCTGCCAGCCCAGAGAAGTCTTTTGTTTTTTTAATTTTTTAAAGAATTATTTATTTATTTCCATTTGTTATTGTTTTTTGGTTTTTTTTTCTTTATTTGATGAAAGAGAGAGAGAAAGGGAAAGTGAGAAAGCAAGCCACCAGGTCCAGGACTTGAACCATGGTTGGCCATGAGAATCCAGTGCCCTTACCCACCACACCACCTGCTGGCCCCTCAGAGAAGTCTTTTCTAATCACCTTACCTAAGTAAGATTCTCCCTTTATTTCCTTTATTCCATCTAAATATTTTATTCATGTATTGATTTAACATCATTCATAACAATGTGTAACTATAGGCTCCATTTTTTATTTACTTCTTTAATGACTATTTTCCTTTCTAGAATGGGCAGAGACAATATCTTCTTTATTTACTTTTGTATCCCTAGTGCCAAGTAAAGTATCTGGCACACAGTAGGTACTTAATATATATTTGTTAGATTAATGGATGAAGCTTATCTGTTTTATCTTCCATTATTCTTATTTTTGGATTCACTGTGCCCTCACTGAATAATCACAATCTCCTTCATATATTACTATGTTCTTTTCCTTCTTTGTGCCCCCCAAGAACTTTAAATCTGTCTTTTCCTCATTTTCTACTGTGGAGAAGACAAATGGAAGAAGAAACATCAGTAATTCAGAAGTCCCTAGACCAATCTGTTCCATTAACACCATTCTATCACCGTGAAACAGGAAGTGTCTTCTGAACCTCAGTTTTATCATCCATACAATGAACACAAGATTCCTACTTCAATCTCACAGAGTAGAATGTGTGTGTAAAAGGACTTTATAAAATACAAAGTACCATACAAAAATCTTACTGAATTCCCTCGTGTTTATGAATTGCCACACAAATCCCTTGCTGTTAATGTGGCAAATAGCAAAATGTTTCTAAGCTAAGCTTACAGTTACCAACATGTTCCCAAGTGCACTTGGGGCAGGAAGCCAGAACAGAAGCTGTCTGAACCAAATGAAGCCTGTCACACGTGAGTCCTTTAATTGCTTACAGCTGGGTTCACTAAGCCTGTCTCACAGTGGGTTGTTTCAGGACACTGGCTGCTCCAGGGCCCACAGCAGAGTCTAGAATGGGTCCCAGGGTGGCATCATTATCCTGCACAGTATGTGATCCAGCAAGGGGCCTTACTTGACAGGATCTGTCAACGGTTCAGTAGAATGAGGGAAAGGACAGCAGAGATGGTAGCTGACCTTGCCTTTGCAATGAATCCAAGAAAGGCCCAGGTTTGAGTAAAGTGGAAAGGGTGGAAGATCTAAATGGCACTTGAATATTACATTACATTAGTTTCTCACTCATCTGAGAGATTAATTTCAGGACTCAAAAAAAGCACATGCATTGGTGTCATGACAGATCTTCATGACCTGAGGTTGGAATTCAGAGAGTTCTCTTTTTTTTTAGATAATTATTTTATTTATCTTTATTTATTTGTTTTAATTTGACCAGAGAGGGGCAGAGTGAGAGTGAGAGAGTGAGAAAGCAAGCCACCAGGTCCAGGACTCAAACTATGGCCAGCCATGTGAGAGTCCATCACCCTTAGCCAACATGCCACCTGCCAACCCCCAGAGGGTTCTCTTTAAGAATAACAGGACGACAGGCCAGTGGGTGGTGGGGTGATTAAGGCACTGGACTCTCACATGGTCAACCCCAGTTCAAGTCCCAGGCCTTCCAGCTTAAAAATCACACTGAGCACTTATGCATGCATGTCTAAAATCCAAAGAGGAGAATGGAAGAGAAGGGACTGTGGCATGGCCATTCCCCCAAGGGGATGATTTCTCACTTTCCCACTCACTGTCTCTCTCCAGCAAGCACATGCACTCTAAGGCAAAAACCTGAAAGAAAAAAAAAAGAATCACAGGATGGAAAATATGGTCTTTGGTGCCCAATAATTCTGAATTTGAATCTCTCCTCGCACTGTACTAATTCTGTGATTGTGGTAACTTTTTCAACCTCTCTAAACTCAGATTTCCCATCTACACAGTAAGGATAATAATAGCTGCATTACTAAATTACTTTCTTCAGTTCTTTCTCCCTTCTTGCATCCACATTCTGCCCGGCTTCATCATGCATAGAGTAAACTTTCCTGCTCTTTTCATTGGACATGTGATTAGTTTGGCTAATAATATATGGAAGTGCTATCAACATAGGATGAACATATGCTGGCTAAGTGATAACAGGAGGAGGATAGAAATAGGTGGGCCAGACCCATATCAGCCAGCCCACATTCTTGCAGGGAGAAACGTCATTCCAGCTAATCCACAGACATGGAAATGATAAAAAATCATCTTAAGACATTGGTTGTGACATGATTTATCATGTTTGTCTTGCTGTCTTTGTTACACAGCAAGAATTAAAAAATTCAACAGCTAATTAATTGAATAATGTAGAAGCCACCAATTTCCACAAACTTGACTGTATCATACAAATTATATTAGATACTGTGTGTAAGTTTTGAGCACAGAATCTGACACAGATAAGAAATCAAGTAAACGGAGGTTCTTTCTTCCCCTAACCTAACCGTGAAGTTTGTCTGGTAACAACTTCAGAAGTTTATCTGCTGCTGGCTTCTACATTATCCTAATGTTTCTAGCTTGTACTTCAGAGACTCCACCAATGATTTCAAGGAGAAGAATGTTTTCCTTCCCTATTTCATTTGCTTGGTGCCAATTAAATAAAATTTATGAAATTTACTCTGGTTGGTAATTATCTTGGAGAAT